AAGGTGAAGCCCAAGAAGCCCTTCTCATGGTACAATCTTCGGGGTCCCGGGAACCCGAAATCTAAGGGATCCAAGGGCAAAGTTACTACTTCTACTGGCCGGTCTGAAGAGACAATAGTGGTATTCACTACTTCATAGCCTCCCACTGCCATACCGGATCCTGCCTCCGGACCATCTACTTCTATGCCGTCCTCAGTGCCTTCCTCCTCAGCATACCCGTTGACTGCTCACATGTTTAACCAAACACTCTCCAGCATCAACAACTGGATGCAGGCAGCAACTTTTAAGTTGTCTGTGCTATCCAGTTCAGTGGAAGCCCAGTCAGTTCCCGCACAGCCCCAGGTGCCAGCTTCAGTGAAGGAGTCCCTTAAGGAGCTTCTGGACAACCAGAAGAAGCTCCTGGACAACCAAAAGCTTATTATGGATGCTCTTGCAGTTCAAGGAAAGTCAATTCAGGAGATGAGCAAGCAGACAAAGAAGCCGAAAAAGACTCGGGCCTCAAAGGAGTCGGTGAAGCAATTGAGAGAAGAGGTGGAAAAGATTAAGGTAGCTGGCGACTTACCATTGGAGCTTCTATTGGAGGATCCAGCTCCAGCTCCAGCTCAGGCAGAGCAGGTTCAGGAGCAGGAGACTAAAGGTGAGCCCAGGAGGAGGAGAGTGATGACCCAGGTTGACCATGTGGAGATTGAGTTGGAGGATCCTGAGGGAGTTGCCTCAGGCCAGCCACAGGACCCCGAGCCAGGTGATCCAGGGACCCAGCCACAGGACCCCATGCAGACAGAGGACCCATAGGGAGTTTTCTTTACTCTCTAACCCTCTTTTTTGATCTTATTTTTGGTTATTTAGCATTGAGGACAATGCTAGCTTTCATTTGAGGGGGTGGTCCTATTTTGATTTTTGATACTGGGATGTAAATATAACACTTACTTTTCCTTTACTGTTATTTTTTCACTTTTGGTATGTATATAACTTTACCATTTATTTTCTTTACTTTTCGTTATTTTTCAATTTCGGTATGTATATAAAGTTACTTTTTCATGTATATATTCATTCCCTCTTATGTATATTCGTCTAAATCCCCTATTGTACATATTTAGTTTACTTTCCGCATTTTACATCATAACTTCTTTTGCAACTTTCCTTAATAACATAGCTTCTTATTTCATTTATTAGCCTCTTTTTCGGTTCATAGCTTCTTATTTTACAAGTTTTTGTTATCAATAAGCCTTTAGTTTTCTTAATGCCACGGTTCTTTTCAAAGGTGGAGTTTGTGTGAACCGGGTGGCTCTTCCCGATGATGGATGGCATGACAATCTTCTTAAGGGTTTGAGTCCGTTTTCTTTTCGTTTTTGCGTAAACAGTAGCTAGTGAGTAATAGTGCCTCAGGCAAAGCTTCACTTGGGTCTAACACATTTAGCTTTGACCTTATGGTTAGAAACAAATTGGTGTATATATGATGGTGATAGTTGTGACCTTGAGACTCTTGTGTTGACTAAACAATCATCAAGTGGTTTTTCGGAACCATTTGCGTTGCACAAATCTTAGCTAAGGTTGTTGTGGGCCCCCGACTCTGTCTCTTTAGCAATCCTATAGCTTGTGCGGTGAGGTATTGATTTGCAAGTCCAAGTCATGTGCCAATGAGTCTAGAACTTGCCCTGAATGTTTGTCTAGGCGAAATCCTAAGTGTAGCTCGACTTGAGAAGTGATTATAGGCTCTCCTTGATCCTAATTGAGACTTGAAAACATCCATAGCCCACCAATGATGATATCCCTAGTCAACCTCGTTGAGCCATAACCCTTATTCTTTCAAAAATCATGATACAAGCCTTTATCCAGTCTAAAATGATCCTCTCTTGGCACTCAATCTTTTCTTAGCACAAGGAAAAAACAGAAGTTTGGGGGGGGGGGGAGATGAGGAATGTAAAAGTGATAAAAGTTACAAAAAGGAAGAAAAGGGAAGGAAAAAGAAAGAAAAAAGAAAGAAAAAGCCAAAAAGTCAAAAAGAAAGCGAACAATGTAGAAGAAATGAACGGAGTCAATAAAAGCAAAAATGAAAGGCTTGGAAAGACTAGAAAGGAGAAAAAGGATTGACATGAACAAGAAAGAGTGACAGTGTGTTCTCTAACCCCTAAGGAAGAAGTAAATGACTCAAAGAGTCAAGAAAGTGTGAGCCAAAATGAAGCAAATGAAGTGCTTAAGGAAAGAAGAAACCTTCATAGACCAATGTATCCTACCTTGAACCAAAAGCCTTCATTACATTCCCGCAAAAGCCCTATATGATCTTGAGTTGAGTGAGCTTACATTAGTGGTGACTCACATAAGGGGCAAGCTTATGGTACTTAGAGCCGGACTTGTGACCTTCCTTTGTGAGAGATGAGTGCTACAATCTAAAAGTGAGGTTTGCTTATGGAGAGTTGAGGAGTATGAGTTTGGGTTCCACAAGGACCAATGTGATAGAAAGAGTTTCTTTGATGAGTTAAGTCAACTCTTGATGCTTTTGTGTCGCACTAAAGCCATGGTGCTAAAAAGGTTGTGTATTGTTAATGATGCATTTGAGTTGAGGGTAATTGTTAGTCCCAACTGAGGCTAGATGAGGTCACTTTAGGACAGCTGAATTTTCCCCTTTTTTGTCTTGAGGAGATGGGAATTACTTTGTTTGGCTTGAGGACAAGCAAAAGCTTAAGTTTGGGGGAGTTGATAACTAGGGATTCTAGCCTATTTAATGCTCCTTTTTGCTTAGGCTTTGGATTAAAAAGTGTGTACAAGTATTCTCGAAAGCTAACTTATTGTGCTTGATTGCAGTGTTTGGTCAAAAAGAGACAAGGAAGTCATAACCAGTTCAAAAAAGGGTGAAACGTGCACAAGTTCAATGCTAAGCCAAAAGAGCGCTGACAGCGAAGAAACAATCGCGGACGCGGAGAGTCCACCGCTGAGGCGGTCTTGATTTTGCTCTCGGCGGTGGCAAAGTTAAGAGAGTGTGTTATGGGCTTAACAAGTCACTGCTGCCCGCGGTGATTTAGCGCGGCAGCAGCCGATTTACCGCCCTCAGTGGTAGTCAGATTCAGAGAGCCAGAAGTGGAGCTAAAAGTTGAAGACCCCGGTCCACGGTTGATTTTGCGCGGCCGCGGTAGTCTTAGCGCTGCAGCTGTCCATTTTCCGCTGTCAGCGGAGCCTCCGTAGGGGCATTTTTTTCCGGAAAATTTAGATGTGTATAAATACTTCTTTTTTAGATTTTTAGGTTATCTTTTGTTTGGCAGAGCACGTGAACAGCCGTTTTTAGCCTTTTTGAGTAATTTTAGAATATCTTTAACAATTAATCTTAGATTTTAGTCTTGTATTTACTTTTTATGGGTTATATTTCATCTAAATCTTTGATTTCCTCTTTGATTATGAGCAGCTAGACCCATTAGCTAGGGTTGTGGCTCAACCCTAGTGTGGGTATTTAATGGGTCTTCTATTTTAGGGCTTAAATGTTTATGGGTGAATGATATTTTGTCTTATTTATGCTTTAATTGTTGAATTGGTGGTTGCAAACAATAATTTGTGCCTTTTTAACTTAGGCTCTTCTTGAGAAAGAGGGTCCAAGTTTGGGAAATTCAGGCCAACAAGGAATTGGGGTGCACTCAATCTCATTCAAGAGATTGATAGCCCCAATTAAAGGGTTAAACCTAGAGATAGTAATACCCGACTTGAGCCAATTTTGCTGGCACTGTTTGAACACTGAATTGGGCTTGAGAAAGCCAATTAGGGAAAAGTCACTCAAACTACTGAGAGGTATAGAGTGAGTAGTTACGTGCAATGGCTATATCATGATCTCAATTATAACAAATTTGCCCTAAGTTTTGGATCCCGTTAGATACTCACCTAGGAGTAAGTCACATCCCTAGTGCCTTTTTACCAATTAAGAAAACCCCATACAAAAATATCATACTTAGCTTATTTTTCTGCATCATTAGTATTAAAATAGAATAGTGAACAAATAAAGAATGATTAGAAGTGAAATCAAGAACATCGCACATTGCTAGATTAGATAGGAACCCAATTCCAAAACTTCCTTAGCTCTCTGTGGATTCGATCCCGACCTTTCGGGTAAAAGCTGCATCGACCGCTCTTGCCACTCTATAGTGGTATAGGGTTGGCTCCGATCAGATATCCATTTTATCACTGCTGCAAAACTTCGAGACACACAGGAATGCCCTGATGAAGGTGCTAAGTGAAGCCCATGTACCCACCAACATCACTAGTAGGGAAATGGCCAACATGGTCGGGCGGGTATTGGAAAGCCACAAAATCACTTTTCATGGAGACAAGCTACCACCGGAAGGACTAAGTCACAACAGGGCACTGCATATCACAGTGCAATTTGAGGACAAATTCATCGCCGGGGTCTTGATAGATGGGGGTTTGAGTCTCAATATATGCCCACTGACTACTCTGATGAGGCTGGGTAAAGGCCTGCATGAGATACGAGCAGGAAGCATTAATGTGAAGGCGTTTGATGGATCTTAGAGGGCCACAATCGGGGAAATCATCCTCAGTCTACAGATGGGACCAACCTGGTTTGATGTTGAGTTTCAAGTGCTGGATATATGTGGTACCTGCAATTCGTTATTGGGACGACCCCGCATACATGCCGATAGGGCCATAGCACCTACTCTACATCTGGCTGTGAAGTTTAAATGGAACCATCAAGAGGTGATCATCCATGGAGATGGGAGTAATCCCATCTATACCAATCAGACTGTTCTAGTCATCGAGAACAGGAGGAAGCTGGGTGGAGAAACATACCACCGCATTGAGCGCGTCAATGCAATTGAAAAAGACAAATGGTGGAGCAACAAGATAGAAAGCATATTGCTATGGACAGGGTATGAGCCTGGCAAGGGTCTCGACAAGAATCTCCAAGGGATCACCAAACCAGTACAGCCGAAGCGTCATGGTACAACTTTTGGGCTTGGGTACGAATACACTTGGCAAGAGTAGTTGGATTGGTCGCTGCCATGGCGTGGTCCTTATTATCGGTGGAACAACCAGTACCACATTTGCACCAGAAATTTCATCAAGCTGACATAATGTGGCGATCTGAAGAAGATGAAGCCTTAGCTGGCATAAGGAAGCTGTTTCAGGATACTGACGACATGGATTGCAGTGCTATAGTTGAGGAGGAGGAGGAGGAGGAAGACCTTACTATTCAGACCGTGGAGAAAGGAGTTGTTCTCAAGAGCTGGACTGTTGTACCATCCCGGGCCCGTCGAGTTCCTGGGTAGCCTGGCAATTAGCATCAATTATTTTTAAGCAGTTTTATGAGCATCTAAGACATTTTCAGTATTTTGTTTTGAACGTATTTTGTTTTGAAATAATTGCTCGAGTCATCGAGCCGTGCTTGTTTGACGTTTTCAAGATTTATTTAATGCATTGCTACTTTTAGTATTTATTATTATTCTTTCCATTTTCTCTCTATAGCATTATTATTACCTATCCCGATGAACCTATGACTGTGACATATAATGAGACAACGCAACATAAGAATAGTGATTCGGAGGGTCTGGAAGATGATATAATACCTGAGGAAATTGTCAGAGAAATGGAAAACTTTGAAAACAAGCCTAAGTCTAATTTGGACAATACCGAGACAATTAACTTAGGTGATTCCTAAACACTCAAGGAAACACGTGTAAGCATTCACCTATCACCATCAGAGAAGGAAGAGTATGTCTGATTCCTAAAAGAGTATGAGGATATCTTTGCATGGTCCTACGATGATATGACCGGTTTGAGCACATCCATAGTGGCTCACAAGCTACCTACCGATCCCATGTGTCCACCTGTAAATAGAAACTCAGAAAATTCAAGCCAGATATGAGTTTGAAAATAAAAGAGGAAGTCACTAAGTAAATCAAAGCCAAGTTTCTCAGAGTGGTTGAGTATCTGACTTGGGTGGCTAACATCGTGTCAGTCCCGAAGAAAGATGGGAAAGTCAGAGTATGTGTTGATTATCGGGATTTAAACAGAGTGAGTCCCAAAGACGATTTCCCATTGCCCAATATACACATACTATACTGATCGACAACTGTGCCAAGAATGAACTCCAATCTTTTATGGATTGCTTCGCGGGGTATCATCAGATCTGGATGGATGAAGAGGATGCCAAAAAGACAGCCTTTATCACACCATGGGGAATGTACTACTATAAAATGATGTTGTTTGGTTTGAAGAATGATGGAGCCACTTACATGAGAGCCATGACGACCATTTTCCACGACATGATACACAAGGAAATAGAGGTGTACGCGGATGACGTCATCATCAAATCCAGAAGAAGCACGGATCATATAGCAGACTTGAGGAAATTCTTTGATTGGCTTCGAAGCTACAATCTGAAACTGAATCCTGCAAAGTGTGCCTTCGGAGTCCATGCCGGAAAGTTGCTAGGATTTATTGTCAGTCGCTGAGGAATTGAATTGGACCCATCAAAAATCAAAGATATCCAGGACTTGCCTCCTCCGAAGAACAAGAAGGATGTGATGAGCTTTTTAGGACGTCTCAACTACATTAGTCATTTCATAGAACAATCTATCGTGATCTGCGAGCCAGTTTCCAAAATGCTGAAGAATGATGCTGCAACAAGCTGGACTGAAGAATTCCAGAAAGCCTTCGACAAAATCAAGGAGTATTTATCTAAACCACCTGTTCTGGTCCCACCGGAACCAGGGAGACCTTTTCTGCTTTGTTTGTCCATACTAGATGGGGCTTTTGGTTGCATTCTAGGACAACATGATGAGACTGGAAGAAAGGAGCAAGCAATATATTAACTGAGTAAGAAATTCACACCCTGCGAAGCCCGGTACTCTTTGCTGAAGCGCACCTGCTGCGCTTTGACATGGATCGCTCAAAAGCTGAGGCATTACTTCTGTGCCTACACCACATATCTCATATCAAGGATGGATCCGCTGAAATACATCTTCCAAAAACCCATGCCTACGAGAAAGTTAGCAAAATGGCAGATATTGCTGAGTGAGTTCGATATCATCTATGCAACTCAGAAGACGGTTAAAGGGCAAGCGTTGGCAGATCATTTGGCAGAAACTCCTATAGACGGAGAATATGAACCATTGATAACATATTTTCCCGACGAGAAGGTATCATTTGTGGGAGAAGATATCACCAAAGCATACGATGGTTGGGGAATGTTCTTCGATGGAGCTGCAAACTTCAAAGGAGTGGGTATCGGAGTTGTCTTATTGTTAGAAACAGGCCAACACTATTCGATATTTGCAAAACTCAGGTTTCCATGTACCAACAATATGGAAGAATATGAAGCTTGCATTTTGGGACTCAGGTTGGCCATTGACATGAATGTTCAGAAGTTGCTGGTGATTGGAGATTCTGATCTTTTGATGCATCGGGTTTTAGGAGAATGGGATACAAAGAACACCAAAATATTGCCATATCTGTACCGTGTACAAGAACTTATCAAGAGGTTCACGAAAATGGAATTCAACCATGTTCCGAGGATTCAGAATGAGTTCGCAGATGCTTTGGCCACTTTATCTTCCATACAACACCCAGACAAGAATTTCATCGATACGATCCCAATAGATTCATAAGCAACCAGCTTATGATGCTCATGTTGAAGAAGAAAGTGATGGAAATCCATGGTACCGCGACATCAAAGAATACTTGGCAAAAGGAGAGTATCCGGAGCACGCAACTCATACTCAGAAACGCACACTCCGAAGGTTAGCCAACCACTTCTTTCAAAGCGGAGGAATTATGTACAAAAGGACTCCTGACCTGGGGTTACTATGATCTGTCAATGCCAAGGAAGCATCTAGATTGCTCGAGGAAATTCATGCCGGAACTTGCAGACCACACATGAATGGCTTCGTCTTAGCCAAGAAAATAATAAGAGTAGGGTATTCCCGGATGACTATGGAAACAGACTGCATCAAGTATGTCCAAATGTGTCACCAATGCCAGATACATGCTGATATGATACAGGTGCCACCCAATGAACTCAATGCTACAAGTGCACCCTGGACTTTCTCCGCTTGGGGCATGGATCTCATCGGTCCGATTGAACCCGCTGCTTCAAATGGGCATAGGTTCATTCTAGTGGCCATAGACTATTTCACAAAATGGGTTAAAGCCATATCTTACAAAGTTGTAACTCAGAAGGTCGTTGCAAATTTTGTTGGGGATCGCTTTGTTTGTCGATTCAGAGTACCAGAGTCAATCATCACCGACAATGCCGCCAATCTTAACAGTGATCTGATGAAGGCTATGTGTGACACCTTCACGATCAAGCATAATAATTCCACAGCATATAGGCTGCAAATGAATGGAGCTGTAAAATCCGCCAACAAGAACATCAAGAAGATATTGAGGAAAATGGTGGATAATTACAAACAATGGCACGAGAAGCTGTAGTATGCTTTGCTTGGATATCGTACCACAGTTCGCACATCAATTGGGGCAACTCCTTACTTATTGGTTTACGGTACTGAAACGGTTATCCCTGTCGAAGTAGAAATCCGCTTTCTAAGAATCATACAAGAAGCTGAGCTCAGCGACGCAGAGTGGGTACAAAGCCGCTATGAACAACTGGCCCTCATTGATGGAAAAAGAATGAATGCATTATGTCACTTTCAACTCTACCAGAACAGAATGGCGAGAGCTTTCAACAAAAAGCTCAGGCCGGGTAATTCACTGGGGAAATTGGTGGTGAAACGGATCTTCCCACATCAGGATGAAGCCAAGGGGAAGTTTTAACCCAATTGGCAAGGTCCCTACATGGTTCACCGAGTACTAATAGGAGGAGCACTCATACTTGCATAAATGGACGGAGAGATTTGTCCCAAACCTATCAACTAAGGCGCAATCAAGAGATACTATATTCAGGATTGTTTACATTTCTTCACTTGATGTAACTGAATTACGCTTGACCTGATTCCCGTTTAAGAGGGGATACCTAGGCAGTTGATAGGTTACATGTACTTTGGTTATAAGTACTTTGCTTTATATTTTGATGATCTAACAAACTTACTATCCAGAACCAGATAAGGAACCTGCTACACATTTACAAGATCTCAAGTTCACAAGATTTCAGGTTGGGAGCGTGGAATATGATTTAACTCCTCAGATTGGAAGGAACAGCTGAGGGACTAGGTCCCTACCAGTTCCCGAGGAGACTGTACGAAGTTAACTTTGCAGCTGGAAAGTTACTGCCTGCACACGCTACTGTGCAGAACAGTGCTACAGTCAACTTTCCAGAGAAGACTTCTTACCCACCTTGCTTGCATCATTAGAAGTGATGTCACACATGTATATATGCATTCATGGGAGGTAAAACAAAAAACTTGAACACTATGAACCAGTTCCCACATCGAGTTATTCTGTGTCCTTAGTTGAGATGTAACTTTGTAATAGTTCTTCAAATTGTAATTCCTATCCATCTTATTTAGAAACACTTTGTAGGAACATCTTTGTAACCCTTAAACTTGCGTGTTTAAGTATTGGCTAGAGTTAGTCAAGTTTTAAACTCTAATAGAGTTATTGCAAAGTGGCTTGTAATAGGTGTATTACAAGTTAGTGAGGGATTAAGAGTTTAATTCCTAGGTTGCATAGGTTATAATCTGAGAGTTACTCAGTAGTGAAGTTGAAATCCTACAAGGGTAGGTTGTGGTTTTCAATCCTGTTGAGCTGGGAATTTTCCATGTAAAATTCCTCTTGTCTGTTAACTTCTGTTATGTGCGTGTGTACTGTCAAACCTAATAGAGAACCTGGTTCTTTATAGAAGATGGTGGACCCATATGTTCTATCAGCAGCCCTGTGGGTTCGGTCACATCTTAATAAAATCTTCATTTTCCCCATGATCAGAAACCGGGGCAAGATTGCAAGATCAGCCAACTTCGTCATATGTGGAACAACCAAAAGTATTGCATTTAAACTGGGGCAGAATTTTGAGGGGGCAAGGAGGTCGCAATTTCTCTAAAATGTGTCACAGTCACCGGTTCATCTAAATTATTTGATATCGCATACTACTACATTTCAAATAACTATATTTATCAAACACATGCATATTTTTCGAAAACTGTGTTTCTATGACAGCCAGATGTTGCTTAGGATAACTCAAACAGGAGCTCAAGACAGGAGCAAAGGCAAAGCAAGAAGACAAAAGCACGAACCAACCGTCCCCCGCAAAACTCACAATTTTTCTTTGAATGCAGGCACAATAAATATAACATGAATATTCGCAAATACATACGCACAGCAAAATCACTATCTTCATAACAACAAAGTTGCCAAACACAAACACATAAAGCTAAGAAATACTTTAATCTCTCGCAGCTATTCATTGCTTTTCTTGCAGAGGGTACGCATTGCCCTTCTTGCATGAGACTAAGCATTGTCTCCATTCTTTGCATAGGGATAAGCACTGCCCTGCTTTGCATGAGATTAAGCATTATCTCCCTTTCCTGCACAAGACTAAGAGTTGTCTCCTATTCTTGCATGAGGCTAAGCATCGCCTCCCTAATTGTATAAGGCTAAGAACTGCCTTTCTTTGATCGAGACTAAGCATTGTCTCATATTCCTGCATGAGGCTAAGCATTGCCTCCCTAATTGCATAAGGCTAAGCACTGCCTTTCCTTGCATCGAGACTAAGCATTGTCTCCTATTCTTGCATGAGGATAAGATTTGCCTCCCTAATCGCATAAGGCTAAGCACTGCCTTTCCTTGCATCGAGACTAAGCATTGTCTCATATTCTTTGCATAAGGCTGAGCATTGCCTCCCTAATTGCATAAGGCTAAGCACTGTCATCCCTTGCATAAGACTAAGCATTGTCTCCTCTTCCTGCATGAGGCTAAGCACTGCCTCCTTAATTGTATAAGGCTAAGCACTTCCTTTCCTTGCATCGAGACTAAGATTGTCTCCTCTTCTTGCATGAGGCTAAGCACTGCCTCCTTAATTGCCTAAGGCTAAGCATTGCCTTGTCCTTGCCTAAGATCAAATATTGTCTCCATTATGCCATCAAAGACCTAGAATTATCCTCTGTTCACCTAGGGTTAAGCACTTCCCTCATCTTACACAAGACTAAGCCTTGTCTTGTCTCATCTCACATATGACCAGGCATCATATCTTTGCATTTCATGGGCTGAAACATCGCCATTTTGTCCAAAGGAATCATAGTACGAAGGCATCATCCTCATAGCCGGGAGACACTATTCCATTGCCTGAGGATCTCTCAAATTGCACATCATTATTCAAAGGCGTCATAGTCCAGAGGCACCATCCGCATGGCCCGATGACATCATCTCATGGCCTGCGAATCCTTTATTATACACTTCATGGACCAGGACGTCACAGTCTAAGGACATCATCCTCACCGTCCGAAGACGGCCTTCATGGTCCAAAGGGAATTCGCATCACGTTTAAATTCTCGTAATAACCCATATATATTTGCATGCATCATGTTTTAAGTTTTGCAGGTAATCCAGGAAGTAACCGTTCTTCAAACGGGAGCAATCTTCGCTCTGATTTACGTTCACAACGTTCGCGTCCTTCAATTGTTTCAAACGTAACCGACCACCATTAATTGCATGCCTTTTACTCTATGACGGTTCAGATATCTGCTCTGTGATACATCCATAACATTTCAAATTCACATTCATGACCTCGCATAAATTCATCCGATATTATCTGGCCCAAAAGATACGGTCATTCTCATAACAACTCCATCGATTTCGTTCACCATTGGATCCAGAACTACACACGGCCTGATTCCTGTAATACCAGGGATATGTAGGCAACTCAGGAACCAGGATTTCGCCCCCATTTTCAAATCACATCATTCCTCATTCAATTCGGCCAAAATTGGTCATCATTTTCTTTACCCAACAACTCTTTCATCATTTCTTGGTAAAGATAGCCAGCTGTTGATACCCAATTTTGCCCTCATATTATCCCAAATAGTATATATAGTTTCAAAACATCATTTTGCATCATTATCTAGTTTACAAATCTATACAAGCATTTTTCTACAATTTTCCATAATTTTTATAGCTTTAAAATTAATTTTCTTACATTTAAATTACATAGTAATTATCCCTTTAAATTATTTGTGATGACTTAATCATCCCAATTACTATTTTGCATCCCCATATATGTTTCATAATATTTTCACTTCATTTTGTATAATTATGTTTTTATTTTTAAGCTATTTGCACAATTTTGCAGTAATAGCCCATACTCATATAGAAATGCTGTTTATTTATGATTATTTGTGTCAAAATAGAATTTTATATTTTTATAATACTAAGTTATTATTTGTAATCATTTCAGTGTATAAATAAGATTTTTTACTTATTTATCAAGTATTTTTATAAATTATTTTTGCGTATTTAAATAAAAGCCTAGCTTTGAACTAATTATGGACCAAATTGGCCCAATCTTCTTAGCCCAACTCCTGGACCAAGACCAAACGATCCCTTTAGTCCTAACCCGGTCGATAACCTGTTTTATGAGTCGCCCCGTTCGTCTTAAATCCTAGCCGTTGATCTCTTAAGATCAACGCCCTCATTCACTCTCCCATTTTAATTAACCTAA